CTTGTCTAGACAGCAAAACGTAAGTTTTGCCTTCTCCTTCTCCATAAGTTCTAGACACTACAGTTCACCTCGGTGGGTGTTAACTTCAGATTTTCGTATTGGGCTTATATTACATTTTTTGAAACAATTTATAACTTAGCTATATCTGTATTCAAATAATCAGGTAATTGCCCAATGTTTAGGACCATATCATATAAAAGTTGAATCAGTAACCATAATTCTGAATAGCGATTTTGTTTCTGCTACATTTAAGGCTTATTTTCCGGCGAATTTCATACTGGTCTAGTTTTGGTGAAAGCAGTTAATGTTAACAACCATCTAGCTTTTAATTAACTTCTTCTAACTTACTTATAGCCTTCGTACTGTAGTTTTATACTTCACTTTCTTGCCAATTTAAGGTCAATTATCAGGTAAATATCGAGTCAAAAAAATTCTATGCTCTTTCCTTAGTCCTCTTTCAATAATTATTATCTAGTATTTAGCACCTGCGGAAATGCCACCAAAATTATTCGATGGATTTAACAAAATTATAAAGGTTAATAAAAAAGTGATTCTCTGTGACGACATCGTAACACTTTTCTTACAGTTTCTTTTCGACCAATGGGCCATAATATGCGCTAGCAACACTAAAAGGAAACTGTCGTTAGTTGATTCCGTATGTTTGAATAATTACGCTCTACAGTTTATAATTTAGTATCGCCGTAATATTTTTATTTCCTTCTGTACGATCATATTGAATGATTATATTACACGAACGACTACATGATGTACGATAACATTACATGTACAAATAAAACACTTCTCTGTAGTTAATATTTCTATGTTGAGTTTTTTTCTACTTTATTTAAAAAAAAATATTTTTGAATTAAAATTAGGTTGAATTTTTAAATTAAGATGGGTTGCGTAAATATATGTTGGTGTTATTAGATATTTTTTCTCTTCATATCATCGGTGCATAAACTTAACATTTCTAAAAGATAGCCAAAATTTTTATTTATAACTAACTCTAGGTCTTTTATTTGAAAATAATGTTTCCGACATATTCGCTCCTGTTTAATGTATTGCTCCACTACCTGCTCGCTTACGCTCCCCAACACCAGAAGATTGCCCATATGGTTTGCTTTGCTTTGCAAACCATGTTCGCCTCGTTCGCTAAGTTAAATATTTAGAACATTTGAGCATTAGAGTATTTGAGATATGTTCATGAATTTGAAATAATTGTTAAAATCTTAAAAACCAAAACCTCGTTAAAAATTAAAATATTTAGTTGATAATAAGTTTTTGAAATAAAAAAATTAATTGACATAAATTACTTGCAATAGAAAAATTTGCAGAAGCAAAGCAGGAACTGTTCTTTTAAAAAACAGCATTTAAGACGGAACGTCTCTTGATCATTTTTCCAGTGTTACGTCTTACATAACAGTCATCAACGCTTTATTCTGCTCTTCGAGCATGCTTTTTATTATTATAAGCGCCCTGTAAGATCAATACTCATTGTTTAATTCATTACAATAGCAACGAATATTATTATTAAATAATCAGCATAAATATAATTAAAACATAAAACAGAATATTTTGTTGCTATGAATTAACCGCTTTTAAACTTTTAATTCTTTCTAACTTACAGCTCAGTTTGCTTCAGCTTTTCGTTGTCCATGAGAAAACAGAATTTTCATTCAGAAATTTGTAACCATGTACGTTTACGCTTTCATTCTTATGACAGCTCACACACTTGATATTTCAATGCTTTGTTGCCAACGCTAAAAAGAAATGAGGACTTTCTTAGTCTCTATTTAAGAAAATATAGATTACGCTATTGAATAAAAACACTTATCATCCGTAGTGGAATATTTTCTTACAAGAACTTTACTATTATTGTATCTTAAGGAGATTAGTTCTACTATTTAACTGTATAGAAGTATGGTAACTATATAGAAGTATTAGCTAGTGCATGTAGGGGAATTTAGTCACTAGATGGCGCAATGTGTACTTACATTTTATTTTTATTTTTTAATTTTATTTTTTAATTTCACTTATTGCTTTCACTTTCGGTCGCTGTACCAGGACGTGCTGACAAGAAGCTCTACAACAGAAATAAAATGTTAAGTTTTTTTCAAGTTTCTGTTCGTTATTATTTATGACATGATTCCGATTTTGATATTAGTATCATCTTATTTATTTCCGATTTAAGAAAAAAGATATGATTTAAAGAAACATCACCCAGCCATCAGTTTATTGAATTTACTGAACTGTGACATTCAATTATTTAATTACGAGTTTCAGAATCGCAATGTATAAAATGAAAAACAATTAATTAATCTAAGATAATTTACTATGCTGAAAAAATTTATTAACTAAAAGTTCAATATTTTCTCAAATTTTTTAGTTGGACCCATAATGTTATTCGATAATAACAAACTTTATTATTATTATTTATTAGAAAATAATAAATATTAAACAGCAGCTTTTGCAATTAAAAATGTTGTTAGTTAATTATTAGTTAGATGTACTAAAGATTAGTAAAAAATGTAACGTTATTACTATATAAAAGTACTACACATGATAAATGATTTTAAATTAAAAGAAAAACTTTTCGGTTTTAATAGAGATGGCAGCACTATCGACAGTTAAAATCCATGGAAAGCGAAAGAAAATAAATTTTTAATGAGCTTCGAAAAATCTAAAAATGATATTAATTTAAAGAAAAATGCTGAAGTTTTTTTAAAAAATTAAATCAAGTTTAAAAATTCAATACAAAATTAATGACAAAAGAAATCGGTAATAATGCTCCAAAATGAAAGTATTCTTTTTTCGAGCATTTGATAACATACCTGCACTAAACTCTTCATAAATTCATACATTTTTAATTCATTACATAAGTATTCAATATTTAACTATTCTATTAAAAATGCTGACTAAATTTTTTGCACAGTCTTGAAATAAATATTAAAACTAGGATTTTTATAGAAAAAAATAAAATAAAGAATCAATCAATAATTGTTATATTTTCATTATTTGGAAATTTTCAAATGAGTTATGTTTATGTAAACGATTAACAATTGTCAACTGGCGTTTGTTCTATTTATTTCTTTTTTCCATTTCTTTTCCTTTTTCGTAAATAAAGGTTTCCTTATTTTTTTGCTAATAAATTTTTCAGCTATAAAAATTGTGCTCTCAATATGCTGTTGTAAAAGACGGATTACGGTCAGGGCACTAGCTGCATTACCAATCTTTCGCAAGTTGCTGAAATAACATATTAGTTGCACAAGAACAGGTTAAATATTTTCTTTGGCAGCGTAAAATGGTCCGGCTAGTTGTACCTCTACACTGTAAAAAAATTTAGAAACTAAATTCGACTTTACAAAAAAGTTTCTAAAATCTTATAGAACATTTTTTTTCAAATGTAGGAAACTGAATCGCATTGACACCGATTGAGTTTCAGAGTGTATTGTAGCTACCACTATGGCTATTCAATACCAGTTTACTAGTATGTAGCACACATTAAATCGGTTGGCATTGTTGGTAGCATAACTCCCAAGAGGTTTCAGAAGACTCATCAAAATATGAAAAAAAATTCTTAAACTGCAAGAAATGATTCAAAATTCATCTGAAGTACTGCGAAATGTTTCTGAATGTTACAGAAAGAGAATTTCGAAACATTCAGAAACATTTTAGAAAAATACATGCACCGTACCTGCCGTATATTCAGAAACATTGCTGGATTTTTTTTGCAGCGTAATAAAGTGCCGGTAAAAATATGTTAACCTAAAGTAATACAACCACGAGTGTAATTTCTTTTGTCATCACAAATTTCGTACAAGGTTTATGCTAGAGTTAATATATGGACTTGCAAGTAAAAATGTAAAAATTATTTCTGCCTGCACTAATAAGCCTTTTACACCAAACTAGACAACAGATACTGTATACCTATAAGAACAGCTTTTTTACATATAAAAACCGTTTGCAACTTGTACTGATCAAATACAAATGTACACTGTGACCTTAAATTTAACAATAATCAGCAGTGCCCCCAAAGTTTATAAAAACAAGGAATATTTATACTACTGTTAGGTATTTCTCAAAGTACTATGTACTAAAAATATGCAAGGTTGACAAAACTAAATAAATTAATAAATAAATACATAAACATGAAAAATGCGGAATTGTTTGCGATTGTAATTATCGAACTGCACTGAAAAAAAAACATTTTATGAGTGGAAGTACAATTAAACTCGTATAATTAAAATTTCAAATGTAATTAACTAATCAGCGTTAGTTCACAACTAATGTCTACATACTAGAAAACGCAATAAAAGATAACCTGATTTCTTATGCAGAGTGGGAAGCATAAAAGTAGACAAAAAATGTAAGTTGTAAGTAAAATGTAGTAAAATGTAAATGTAAGTAAAATGTAAGTTATAAATGCAGAGCCCGGGCAAAGGATTTCAAATTCTTAGCTAGTAAATTAGCCAAATATCAAAAGTCTTCGCCAAATACAAATATAAACAATTTTATACATATTTTTCTTTCAGTGTAAAAAATCATTCGTCAAAGCACAATTTTATTTGCCAAATTTATGTTTTTATCGCATTTGGCGAAGTGGCGAATGCTTAACGAGGGCCCGGTAGATGTTTAACTGGCTGCTTTAATTTTAATCACTCTATAGCTTCTACCTTACTGCTTTGTATGACCGACCCAAAAATGAAAAAATAAAAATCGCGTAATTGTTGCTTCCTTTTAGACTTAGACACTTAAGTTAAAAATATGAAAATCCTAATTTTTAATCAGCAGTTCAAAGATCACAGCAGTTGTCATCAAAACAATAAACAAGCACACTAATCGAAATAAAAAAAAAAGTTTGATTTGATTCTGCTTAATTTACAGGACTTAAGTTTGGCGCGATAAAACATTCAAAATTCATAAAAGATTTTAAACATATTAATTTAAGAGAAAATGTAATTCATATTTTTTAAGATTATTAATTATGCTTAGTAATTAACATGAGCCATAGACAAGTGTCTGGAAATGGAACCGGAAACACCTCATCAATTTCCTCAGATGATGAAACACTCAGTTCATCAAGTCAGAAAAAAATCCCGCCGATTAAAGCCCCCGTAGGTCTTGCTCCTCCACCTGATATAAAGAATGTAAAAGCAAAAGTAGATACTCTCGCCAATATTAAGCATAAACCTGGTGGTGGTGATAAAAAGATATTTCAAGAAACTCCAAGATATGAATATCTTCATCTAAGAAATCACTCAAAAGACAAATCCTCAACTACAGTACCATCAGGAACTGAAAAGCGATTTTCAAGCCCGAAGTTGCCAACAAGATTAAAAGAAGTTAAATCAAAAGTTGGATCTTTGGCCAATATAGGTCATCAACCAGGCGGCGGTAAGATAAAAATATTCTCCGAGAAACTTAATTTTCGAGAAAATGCTGAGGCTAAAGTTGGATCTCTCGACAATGCTGATCATGTTCCTGGTGGTGGAAATGTAGAAATAATTGACGAGAAATATTATTACAGTAAAAAAACTGATCAATAAAAGAAATCGAAATGATTTACAGTCCTTGCTTGATTTTAAACTGATTAATTCTCATTTCAAGAATTCCTTACCGAAGGTTATGCCCTATCAAATTGTTATAATTAGCTCCGATATCTGTTATTTAAGGCATAACATGCAATATCTAATGCATACAGGTAGCACATACGTAATTTAGAGTGACATTAAAACTGATTTATCGAATATGATGATTGAATTTTGTTAGAGCAGTTGTATGAGCATTTTTAAATTCTTTTTCTTTTTTTTAGGGAAAAATTTAATTTCTACAAATGTTGCTTTTTTCCCTCCTTTGCACAAATTTGTGAAACTGAAAAAAAAAGAATATTATATTTTTAGGTGTTAACAAAAAAGGCACGACAATACAAATATGATGCTAAATAAATTACGAAAAAGGGAAAAAAGCAACAAAAAATAAAAAAAATTTTAATGTTAAAAATAATATTATTACTTTTATTGAAGTGCAGAAAAAATTATCTTCCAACAATAATTTTATTTCTGTTTTTTCAGTAATACTTCAAAACATGCTTTATTAAACTTTAAAGGTTTTTTCCCCTCTATTTTTCTTTAAATTTTTCCAAATTTAAAAAAATAAGCGTGTCTCTGAAACTATGAAAGAACAATTGAAACTCGGAAATATCTGCATCTGTGTCATATTAGTGTCTGCAAATCCTGAAGGTCTCTAAAAAATCGTAACTATAGCTCAGAATTTTATTAAAATTTAAACTTTCTGTTTTAATTGCGGAGGAAGTTTAATTTATGGCAAAAAAAGATTTTTTTGAAAACTTATTTTGATTTCTCCATTTACAGCAGGTATTAATGCATGTGATATTTATTTTTAACTGAGAATTTATAAATGTTTGCTTCACCTTTCTTAATATTGCAGGGAGTTACTCGGTGAGCCGTGTGCGCCGCTCCGGAGTCAAAATTTACACGTTTCTTAGCTGTTATTTACTCGTTACCGAAAGAAGATAGTTATTTTTTTGTATAGAGGACTTTATTCATGATGAAATGCCGAAAAATAAATTTAAAAAAATTAAATAAAATAAATAGAAAAAAAAATTAGAAATTAACCAGTGACGAGGACCGAACCTCTAACCACCGGGACTACAAACTTCTTTATCCGTAGCTCTAACAACCACACCACGGCTCACACGTTGCTTCCACGAATATATAGCCTGATGAACTTCATTTCGGTTAATTAACAAGATCTATTTTGGCTCATTATGAGCCCCCTAATTTGTGTATAAAAATTCCCTTTGGTACGATTGATTAGTAAATAAAACACTAATTTCTGGCGAAGTTTGAAAATTATAAGTTAATAGTTAAGGGAGTTATGGAGTGAGTCGTGTGTGCAGATCCGGAGTCGAAATCTATCCGTTTCTTAGCTGTTATTCGCTCGTACCCAAGGGAAGATAGTTATTGTTTTGCATAGAGGACTTTATTCATGTTGAAATGCCGAAAAATAAATTTAAAAAAATTAAATAAAATAAATAGAAAAAAAATTAAGAAATTAAGCAGTGACGAGCACCGAACACCTGACCACCGGGTCAACAAACTTCTTTATCCGTGGCTCTAACAACCACACCACGGCTCAGACGCTGCTTCCATGAATATATAGCCTGATGAACTTCATTTCGGTTAATTAACAAGATCTATTTTGGCTCATTATGAGCCCCCTAATTAGTGTATAAAAATTCCCTTTAGTACGATTGTTTCGTATATAAAACACTAACTTCTGGCCAAGATTGAAAATTATAAGTTAATATTTAAGGGAGTTACGGAGTGAGTCCTGTGAGCAGCTCCGGAGTCGAAATTTGTCCGTTTCTTAGCTGTTATTCGCTCGTTCCCAAAAGAGGAATAGTTATTATTATGTAAAGAGTACTTTATTCATGATGAAATGCCGAAAAATAAACTTAAAAAATAAAATAAGATAAATCGAAAAAAAATTAGAAATTAAGTAGTGACCAGGACCGAACCACTGACCACCGGGTCTACAAACTTCTTTTCCCGTGGCTTTAACAACCACACCACGGGTAACACGTTGCTTCCACGAATATATAGCCTGATAAACTTCCTTCCGGTTAATTAACAAGATCTATTTTGGCTCATTATTTGCCCCCTAATTAGTGTATAAAAATTCCCTTTGNTCCTTTGCACAAATTTGTGAAAGTGAAAAAGAAAAAGAACATTATATCTTTAGGTGTTAACAAAAAGGGCATGACAATACAAATAAGGCGCTAAATAAATTACATAAAAGGGAAAAAAGCAGCAAGAAATGAAAAAATGTCTGTTTTTTTTAATGTTAAAAATAATATTATTACTTTTATTGAAGTGCTGAAAAAATTATCTTCCAACCATAATTTTATTTCTTTTTTTTTCCAGTAATACTTCAAAAGATGTTTTATTAAACTTTAAAGGTTTTTTTCACCCTATTTTTTTTTTAAATTTTTCCAAATTTAAAAAAAATAAACGTGTCTCTGAAACACTGAAAGAATAATTAAAACTCGGAAATATCTGCATCTGTGTCATATTAGTGTCTGCAAATCCTGAAGGTCTCTAAAAAATCTTAACTATAGCTCAGAATTTTATTAAAATTTAAACTTTCTGTTTTAATTGCGGTGGAAGTATAATTTATGGGAAAAAAAGATTTCTTCGAAAACTTATTTTGATTTCTCCATTTACAGCAGGTATTACTGCATGTGATATTTATTTTTAACTGAGAATTTATGAATGTTTGCTTCACCTTTCTTAATATTAAAGGGAGTTACTCGGTGAGCCGTGTGCGTAGCTCCGGAGTCGAAATTTACACGTTTCTTAGCTATTATTCTCGCTTTCCCAAAGAAGAATAGTTATTTTTATGTATAGAGGACTTTATTCATGTTGAAATACCGAAAAATAAATTAAAAAAAATAGAATAAATAGAAAAAAAAACTAGAAATTAACCAGTAACCAGGACCGAACCACCACCGGGTCTATAAACTTCTTTATCCGTGGCTCTAACAACCACACCACGGCTCACATGTTGCTCCCACGAATATATATAATCATGAACTTCCTTCCGGTTAATTAAAAAGATCTCTATTTTGGCTCATGATGAACCCCTAATTAGTGTATAAAAAATTCCTTTGGTACGATTGTTTGGTATATAAAACACTAATTTCTGGCCAAGTTTGAAAATTATAAGTTAATATTTAAAGGAGTTACGAAGTGAGTCATGTGTGCAGCACCGGAGTCATTTATCCGTTTCTTAGCTGTTATTCGCTCGTTCCCAAAAGAAGAATAGTTATTTTTATGTATAGAGGACTTTATTCATGTTGAAATGCCGAAAAATAAATTTAAAAAAATAAAATAAATTAAATAGAAAAAAAATTAGAAATTATCCAGTGACCAGGACCGATCCCCTGACCACCGGGTATATAAACTTCTTTATCCGTGGCTCTAACAACCACGCCACGACTCACACGTTGCTTCCATGAATATATAGCCTGATGAACTTCCTTCTGGTTAATTAACAAGAACTATTTTGGCTCATTATGTGCCCCCTAATTAGTGTATAAAAATTCCTTTTGGTACGATTGTTTGGTATATAAAACACTAATATCAGGCAAAGTTTGAAAATTATAAGTTAATATTTAAGGGAGTTACGGAGAGAGTCGTGTGTGCTGCTCCGGAGTCGAAATTTATCCGTTTCTTAGCTGTTATTCGCTCGTTCCCAAAAGAAGAATAGTTATTTTTATGTATAGAAGACTTTATTCATGTTGAAATGACGAAAAATAAATTTAAAAAAATTAAATAAAATCAATAGAAAAAAAAATAAGAAATTAGCCAGAGACCAGGACCGAACCCCTGATCTCCTGTACTACAAACTTCTTTACCCGTAGCTCTAACAACCACACCACGGCTCACACGTTGCTTCCACGAATATATAGCCTGATGAACTTCCTTCCGGTTAATTAACAAGATCTATTTTGGCTCATTATGTGCCCCCTAATTAGTGTATAAAAATTCTCTTTGGTACGGTTGTTTGGTATATAAAACACTAATTTCTGGAAAAGTTTGAAAATTATAAGTTAATATTTAAGGGAGTTATGGATTGAGTCGTGTGTGCTGCTCCGGAGTCGAAATTTATCCGCTTTTTAGCTGTTACTCACTCGCTCCCAAAGGAAGAATAGTTATTTTTATGTATAGAGGACTTTATTCATGTTGAAATGCCGAAAAAAATTTTTAAAAAAATAAAATAAATTAAATAGAAAAAAAATTGGAAATTAACCAGTGACCAGGACCGAACCCCTGACCGCCGATACTACAAACTTCTTTACCCGTAGCTCTAACAACCTCACCAGGACTCACACGTTGCTTCCACGAATACATAGCCTGATGAACTTTCTTCCGGTTAATTAACAAGATCTATTTTAGCACATTATGCGCCCCCTAATTAGCGTATAAAAATTCCCTTTAGTACGATTTTTCGGTATATAAAACACTAATTTCTTGCAAAGTGTGTAAAGTATAATTTAATATTTAAGGGAGTTACGGAGTGAGTCGTGTGCGCAGCTCCGGAGTCGAAATTTATCCGTTTCTCAGCTGTTATTCGCTCATTCCCTAAAGAAGAATAGTTATTTTTATGTATAGAGGACTTTATTTAAGTTGAAATGCAGAAGAATAAATTTAAAAAAATTAAATAGAATAAATAGAAAAAAAAAATAGAAATTAACCAGCGACCAGAGCCGAACCCCTGACCACCGAGTCTACAAACGTCTTTACCCGTAACTCTAACAACCACACCACGGCTCACAAGTTGCTTCCACGAATATATAGCCTGATGAACTTCCTTCCGGTTAATTAACAAGATCTATTTTGGTTCATTATGTTCCCCCTAATTAGTGTATAAAAACTCCCTTTGGTACGATTGTTTGGCATATAAAACACTAATTTTTGGCCAAGTTTGGAAATTATAAGTTAATATTTAAGGGAGTTACGGA